TAAGAATTTTTTATTATAATAAAAAAATTAAATATAATTATTTTTAATAATTTTTTATTATAATAAAATTTAAATTAATAAAATAAACGGGACTAAAAAACCTAGTTAGAAGGTCAAATTATATCCTCGTAGTACATCTACACCCATCCTCCCTAACCATCCCACATGCGGGTAAAGTTCAAGTAATGAACTTTACCACACAAAGGGGGGTTCTAAATCGAGGGATCGTCGTAGTTGATTAACTCCGTTTACGTGTAAATATTTGATTTATATATTTAAAATTATGATTTAAAATTATTTTTAATTTACGTATATTTTTTATAAAAAAAATAATATAATAAATTATGAATTATGATTTGAATTATAACATAAATTTATCAACTAAATGCACAACACAATAAGAACATGGCATATATAATTTATTTATTTATTTATTTTTTTGAAAACAAGGGGTATTTTGTATATTTTTTATAAAAAAAATAATATAATAAATTATGAATTATGATTTGAATTATAACATAAATTTATCAACTAAATGCACAACACAATAAGAACATGGCATATATAATTTATTTATTTATTTATTTTTTTGAAAACAAGGGGTATTTTTATTTGTACAACTTTAAATCATTACTTTAATTGTGTATTTTAAAAATATTAAATTTAAATTTTTATAAGAGAAAATACTGTAATATGATTTGAGTCACGACTTGAATCATAGAGTCCGTTTGGTTCATAAATTAGAACCATGTGATTAGAATCATTTTTTATTTATATGTATTTTTTATGAGAAAAAATACTGTAATGAATCACGACTCATGATTCGAATCAGGAAACGAATTCCTTTACCAAACATCACTAAAAATAAATAAGGCTAAAGTTTATTTACTAAAAATATTGGAAACCAGTGTATCCAAATATTAGTTACTTGTAAAATAATGTCAAAACATAATATTATAAGTATTCCGAAAGATAAAAAGTTCATGTGTCTTTTGACGTTTCAAGAACAGAAAACACATGATCTTCGTTTGTTTTTCGCTATAAGACACATGGAACTGAATAGACAGCAAGGCTGCCAAGCTTTAGATTAACCGCGTTAAAAAAAAAAGAGAAAATTTTAAGAATATCGTGAAAACTTCAACTTCGGAGTTATGCCACGGATATTTGAGTTTTTTTTTTTCTTTCTTATTTGTATCACGCAAATAAATTAGTCACAGATATAATAAAAATGTGATATAAATCCGAAACACAAAACATAATAAATTGTGTCATCCCACTAAATTCTCTCGTACAAATAGCAAAAGAAAATAGAAAGAAAGAGAGAAATATGTCAAGACTTGAGATGAATTAAAATTAATAGGCCAATAGTTTACATAAGTTAATAAATAGGTCAAATTATTATTTTTATCCATAATTTGTCTGGTTATGAACCATAACTTGACAAGTTATTCACGGTTTTTATCCATAACTTGTCTAGTTATGAACCATAACTTGACAAATTTATCCATAACTTATCTGATTATAAATCATAACTTGATAAATTATGATCTATTAATATCTATAACTAAAAATTAACTTATATACTTTCTTAAAGTTTTTATATTGACTTATTTTCTACTATTTATCAAGAAAATTACTGTGTCCAATAGGATAAAGGGAAAGTTTGAGGTAGTCAACATGAGTTGGGCTAAGTTTTACGTCAAGAATTGGGTTTGGACCGAGTCCTTAAAGTAGCTGGACTGGACTTATGCGCCAATGATATGTACCATGTAGGTTGTTTTGACATGGGCTAGACAACCTCATTGAGGGCTTAACGTGGAAAATCCAATTTTTGTTCACTCAAAATAATAAGGAAAAAGAGAGAGAAATAAGTTAAGACGAATTAAAATTAATGGACTAATAATTTATATAAATTAATAAATAGATTAAATTATTATTTTTGTCCATAATTTGTCTGGTTATGAACCATAACTTGATAAGTTTGTCTATAACTTATCTTATTATGAACCATAACTTAACAAATTATGACCTATTAATTTCTATAACTAAAAGTTGGCCTATATACTTTCTTAAATTTTTTATATTAGCCTATTTCTTATTATTTCCTTAAATACTATAGGGGATTTTTAGAAAAGCCATCAAAAAAGCTAACGCTGCTTTATTTCTAATATTGTTTTTAAACTTATCTTATGTCATTAGTATCTTATAGGTTATTTTTTATATGTTATGAGTTATCTTTTCATATTATTTTTCATATCCTATCGGTTTTTTTTCCCAATAAAAAGCCATCACAGATTTTTTTTTTTTTTTTAAAACAAGTTCTCTCTTTCTCTCCCCTCTCTCTCTCTTCTCAACATATCCGTTTTCTTCTCCGGGGAAGTCAAACGCGCGACAACGACGATCTCAGCAGCGACAAGCCGACGAACCATAGGATTTGGAACGCACTCCTCGCCTTCGCCTTTGAGTCGTAGCTCAGCACAATCAGCAAGATCTCGTCGTCGGAGAGAGATAAGAATGAGAGAGAGGCAGCGTCTTCGGCAGGGATCTAACCAGATCCGTCTATGGAGCTTCGACACGGAGAGAGAGGAGAGAGGAAATGCCGCCGAATGATCCGCCGGAGAAGTCGAGTTGCAACGACACACTGGATCTGCTTCAGAGAGAGGGAAGGGGAGGGAAATAAAGACAATGGGAGAGAGAGAAAAATGAAATAAAAAATTAGTGGTATCAAAATTCTTTAATGGTATAAAAAGTAAGTTGATGAAGTAATGGCAATACATGTATTTTTTTCAAAATATATAGAGATTTTTTTTTAGGTGAATATCAACTTCTACATTACTCATTTAGCAAAAAACAAACAAAAAACTACATTACGCGTCAAATCTTAAAATTATATAGTATATCAAGCCCCGTTTGGTGAGCATGATAAGATAATATTAGATAGGATAATTTTAGGGTAACGAATTGAAATGAATAAAAGGAATTTAATTTAATCTAATCCCGTGGTTGATACTGTGTTATTAGGATAACGACATTTAGCAAAAATTTATAAACTTTTGGACCAATTTGTAATTTTTCAAAACTTGAGGTCAAAAATATAATTTGCAAAAGAACACTTTCATCCCACCGACAGGGAATGACAATAACGCCTATTACCCGCCAATTACAACCAAATCACCGCGTGCTTCTTCCTTTTTCCCGTATTTCTTGTTATTCTTTCTTTCTTTCTGGAAATTACTACTCGAGACACAACAGACATTGGCCATACTGAAATTACTGATACACGCTGAGATCTCCGGCTTCCCCTATCGGAAAAGAGCCACTCACCTCCACCGCCGCCGCCGCCGACAGCGATGGGTTCTTTGCCGGCGTCGTCGTCGGACCACCACTTCCCACATTCTCCTCCCAAACAGCCCCAATCCCTCATTGACCCCAATGAACTCCTCAACCTCTTCAAGTCTCAGCAGGACCACCTCAACTTCTTCTTCCGCAACCTCGACCTCTCCCAAACCCTAGCCTTCACCCAAACTCTCCTCAACTGCCGCGGCACTATCTTCTTCTCCGGCGTCGGCAAGTCCGGCTTCGTCGCCCGCAAGATCTCCCAGACTCTCGTCTCCCTCGCCGTCCGCTCTGGCTTCCTCTCCCCCGTCGACGCCCTCCACGGTGACATCGGCATTCTCACCGCCAACGACATCCTCGTCCTCTTCAGCAAGTCCGGCAACACCGACGAGCTCCTCAGGCTCGTCCCCTGCGCCAAGGCCAAAGGCGCTTTACTGATCTCCGTCACATCCGTCCAGGGGAACGCCCTCGCCGCCGCGTGCGACATGAACGTGCATTTGCCGCTGCAGAGGGAGCTCTGCCCCTTCGATCTTGCGCCGGTCACCTCGACCGCTATCCAGATGGTTTTCGGCGACACGGTGGCGATCGCGCTCATGGAGGCCAGGAATTTGACCAGGGAGGAGTACGCCTGTAATCACCCCGCCGGTCGGATCGGCAAAAGCCTCATCTTCAAGGTAAGAAGTATTTCTACGATCAATCGTTCTTTCTTTCTTTATTTTTGATTCCGAATTTGATTTGATATTTGTTGTTGATAAAGGTTGGGTATTGTGTCGATTTCGCTGTTGATTGTTTTCTGATTATTAGCTCTGATGTTGATTATTTTATTGATTTTTTCCCATTATTTTCTTCAATTTTTTCTGACTCTAATTCCACTTTCAAGCTCTTTCTGCCATAACACTACCGAAAGTTTGAAACTTTTCTTTCCAAAAGAAATGAACGAAAAGAAATTTTGGTTTACCATTCGAGTGGACCAAGATTTTTCGTTCTGTTTCATTCTGAAGCTACTTTGTATGTGTTTGAAGTAATGCTTCTTTGAAATTTTTAGCATTCTAATTCAACAAAATTTGATGGGGTTTTTCTCAATTTATCTATTGTTGTTTAGATTTAAGTTTTGGATTAATCTCTAGATGAACTTTTGTTTCTCTTTTCTGGAGAGAAGGGAAAATGTCATGACCTGGAAATGAGGAAATGAAGAAACTTGCATATTGATAGTGCGTTACGTGATATATGGTGCAGGTGAGAGATGTTATGAAGAAGCAAGATGAGCTACCTGTGTGCAAGGAGACAGATTTAATAATGGATCAGCTTGTTGAGCTAACAAGTAAAGGATGTGGTTGCCTGCTTGTCATAGACGGAGACTATCATTTGATCGGCACATTTACAGATGGCGATCTGCGTCGTACTCTCAAGGCAAGTGGGGAAGGCATCTTCAAGCTCACTGTCGGAGAAATGTGCAACAGGTAATGAAAAGGAGCTCACTAATTTCATCATCTTTAATCCATGAAAAAGCATTCCCATCTTTTCATCTTTGCTGCTATCAATCATTGTTTAGTACATTTTACATATAAGTACCGTGTTTTAAAATTTGAAGTACATTGCGGTCTCAAAAAATAGCTCGAGTCCTAAGCATTTTCGAAGGAAAAAGAAGACTAAACGCTGGCCTTCATAGAAAGTCACCACGAGAAGAAATAATAGTGATTTGCACAAGTTATATACTAATAGCTTTTTGGTCAATTTAGGAACCCAAGAATCATTGGTCCAGATGCAATGGCGGTCGAGGCAATGAAAAAGATGGAAGCTCCACCATCCCCTGTGCAGTTCTTGCCCGTCATCGATGATCAAAACAAATTGATCGGTATTGTCACGTTGCATGGATTAGTTTCAGCTGGCCTTTAAATTTTAACGCGTGAGCAATTTTTTCACCATACATGTAATATGTATTGGTTTGTATTCATTGGAGTTAATTCTTTTGTACCAGTTATTGTTATAACTTATCCCGTAGTTTGGGATCATGTAGTAGATTCACTCAACTATAATATAAAGTTGAATAAAGATTTTTATTTATAAACGTTTTATCTGCACTCTCGCTCTTGATGTTCATTATTTGCTGGAAATCCGCCAAAATCTGAAGGTTTTGTCTATTCATTAGACAAACAGATTAATATGCAGCTTTCAGATAAGGATGAGAAGCACAGAGATGTATAGTCTCGTCTCCTCAACTAGCTTTTTCATTTCATTTTGTCTCGATTCTTCAAAAGAAAAAAACTGCTAAATAATACTGCAAATCTTCATAAAACTTAATTATACGTTCACATGTAATATTTGAATAAATAATTGATTACCGAAAGTTGTCTTAGTCACAGCAACAATGGCGAACATGGAAACAAACAATTGTTCATGTGCGGATAAGACAACTAATTTTGTGTCTCCCTCCGACGTTGCCTCAAAGGCAACACGTTCTTCTTGCATATAACAAGGTTTTGCCCTTACCACGACAATACAATTTCTGTGTTGCTGGTTGCCATGTGGAGGGGTTTTGTTTGAGCTTCCAATTCAAAACAACACCAACCCAGTCGACATTGATGTCAGTATTGTGGGTCTAACGAATTAAAAAATTGTGGGACTGCTTTGTATATCCACAACAAGATTTCCTTCGTCTATAATCTCACAGAGAGAAATATCATTCTGGGGTCCATTGATTTTCGTTCAGTAGTGAAGTCTATTACAGGACACGCAAGTCAGTATTTCTCATTATTCAAGGGAATAATTTGGCTGGTCTTTTCTGTTCTGCATTTGCTTATATATATTATACAGTGAGAAAAGAAATGGACAAATTTTCAGCTGTTCATGATGTAGGCTCAAAAAAATTATTAATCAGTATGAATTTCTTCATTTATTCTATAGTTTTACAAACTAGGCTATGTGATTACAATCAATATAGAAGATATAGTACATAACTTTTGACAGCTACCAGATCTCATGCCACCAAAATGTAATTACGTTTAACTTTTAAAAGATTTCACACAAGATAAAATTTTCAGTCCCAGTCGGGAGGAAAAAAAAATCATAATGATAAGAGAACATGATGGTAGTCTTTAGAACCTTGAGCAGTGGGCTTCACATGCTCAAATCAGCTACTTGAAAGCTTGCAAAAATGTAAATCCTTTATGAACAATGGACAGATGAATGCCAGTTAGTAAGCCTAAATGAATCTAACGCTTAAAGCTAAGATCTGACTACCCGTCGGATTCTTCTGAATTTGTTTCACTCGAACTTCCAGATGAAACTTCAGATGTCCCCTCTTGTAGAAAAGAACGGACTTTGTCCATGCTTGAGATGGCAGATGGTGCTGCCTCCTCGTGTTTTTCTTCCGGCTTGTTTGAGACTGTTGAGTCCGCCGCATGCGACTTCATATCTGCATTACTGCAAGAAGAAAATTTCGTTCTATTACCATCGGGTGATGCAGCATTAAGGGATTTTGTTGCATTCTCTTTTGCTTTGAACTTGCTTATAAGTGCTTTGATCTCTTCCCTGCTGCTAGACCTTGCAGCATTTACAGATGTTGTTGCGCTCTCTTGCGATTTCGTAGTGTTTTTATCCGTATGAGAGGTTGAAGATTGTACTTGGCTTGATGCTTGTAAACCTTTTTGGGCGGTATAGGAGTTCAAAGACAGTCCAAGTTTATCTTTAGCCCATTTGTAGACTGAACTGAATTTTCCTTCCAAAGCTTCAACAAGCATGTTTAGCTCGCTAATATTGTGTCGGATGAGGAAAAATTTATCAGTCCAAGCACAATAAGTGCATAGCTGCTTTGCATGATGTAGACATGAATACGTGTCTGCGGAGCAAGGACAACCTACTGCAGAAAAATGAAGATCATAACAACAAATCTTGCATTCCCTTTTCCTGGTAGCATCAAACTCTTCATCCATCCTACGTGTCTGCAAAGAGTTGCACAGATATTTTCTCGCGATGTCCTCACTCTTCAAACGTGACTACAAGAAACACAATTGAATCTGGCAAATGAACGATGCAGATACAAACACGAGATAATAATGAAGTTCAACAGTACCATGTTCACTGTACAAGGACTTTTTAATTCATGCATGTTTCAACTTCTAGACCTTGCTATAAAATGATACTACAAAGAAAGTATTAAGGGTTTACCTTGAATGCCTTTGTCAGGATTCCTTCCTTTCCACAGGCCCCTTTCCAAAGTTGATTGTCAGAGGTTTTCTTTGCAAATGAGGAATCCCACTGCGCCCTTACAGCTTCAGAAGCAGATCGAAGCAAAAGCTTATCATGGGATAAAGACGTCTTCCTTCCTAACTCTTGGTAAAGTTCTACAGCATTACGCCCATGAGGCAACCAATCAAAGGGCGCTAAATTTGCCGTCTCAGAGCAATTAAAACCACAATCAAATCCTGAATGGTATGCCCCCGGGAAGATGAGAACAAATTCTCTCGGATTCTGAATGCAGCGGAAGACAGGTATCCCCTCTGAACTCAACGAAGAGGGGGATAATTCTTTGACCTGTGTTGAAATCATAATAAGAGACATCTGAGTATTAGATCATACAAAAGTGGAACTTTTTTTTTATTTAAATATAAATAACTGTGGGTAATTGAGAAGAATGAATATCAATTCTTATTTCTTGAATCAGTCGGTACACATATATATACAAGTAGGAAAGCTTTGACTAATTTTAGATTGTAACTAAGTAAGGAAACAAACCCACTAAACTAGGAAAGTATAAAATTAGAATCTAGTAAGTAACACCGGATTCTTCTTCTAATTTAAACACAAAATATCAGGGATAATTCCTAGGAATCTTCCCTAATTGATTCGGAAATCTCAACACTCACTCCCCCTCAAGCTGAGTTGTAGATGTTGAACAAACACAGCTTGTGACTCAATTCTTCAAAGCTTGTTCTTGGAAGAGCTTTCGTGAGTATATCTGCCACTTGAGATTGTGTGGGGGTATAGATCAGCTGTATTATTGAGTTATCAATCTTCTCTGAGATGAAATAACGATCAATCTCAATGTCCTTAGTTCTGTTATGATGTACCGGATTCTTGGCGATGCATATAGTTGCTTGATTGTCACAGAACAGCTTGATAGGTTTTTCACTTGTTATCCCCAACTCCTTGAGTAGTCTGCTTATCCACATTCCTTCACAAATACGAAGGGCCAATGCTCTAAACTCAGCTTCTGCACTGCTCCTTGAGACTACTGGTTGTTTCTTGCTCCTCCATGTGACAAGATTTCCCCAAACATAGGCACACTAACCAGTTGTTGATCTCATGTCCTTTACATCTCCTGCCCAGTCTGCATCAGAGTAGATCTCAATATCCTGGTTTCCAGTCTTCCTATAAAGTATACCCTTTCCTGGAGTCATTTTTAGGTACCTCAAGATTATATACACAGCTTCCATGTGTTCTTCTGTAGGATTGTGGATGAACTAACTCACTACACTAACTGCAAAGCCGATGTCAGGTCTTGTGTGAGAGAGGTAGATAAGCCATCCTACAAGTCTTTGGTATCTCCCCCTATCAACTGGTGCAGAATCTCTTATAGCCGTTATCTTCTTAGTTGGATCCATCGGTGTGTCAACTGGTTTACACCCTAGCATTCCTGTTTCCTTTAGCAGATCCAGGACATACTTTCGTCGAGAGACAAAAATTCCTTGCTTGGATCGAGCTACCTCCATTCCAAGAAAATATCTGAGATTGCCAAGATCTTTGATTTCAAATTCTTTGGCTAGAACTGCTTTCACTCTCAATAATTCCTCCTCATAGTCACCTGTCAGAATGATGTCATCAACATATAAAATTAAGACTGCTACTTTGTTTTCTGAGAACTTCACGAACAATGTGTGATCTGCCTGACATTGAGTGAATCCATATCTCACAACTAACTTTGCAAACCTGTCAAACCATGCACGAGGAGATTGTTTGAGTCCATACAAAGACTTATTGAGTTTGCACACCTTGTTGCTTTCCACGGTTGATTCCAGTCCTGGAGGTATTTCCATGTACACATCTTTCTCAAGATTACCATTGAAGAATGCATTTTTTACATCCAGTTGATGTAGGGGCCAGTCTTTGTTTGCTGCAAGGGAAAGGACTCTGATAGTGTTTAGTTTACCCACTGGAGCAAATGTTTCCTGATAATCTCCTCCATAAGACTGAGTGAACCCTTTAGCAACTAGTCGAGCTTTTAGTCTCTCAATACTTCCATCAGCCTTGTGTTTGATAGTGAAAATCCACTTACATCCGACAGTCTTCTTATCTGAGGGAAGATCTGTTAATACCCATGTGCCATTTTTCTCCAATGCTTGGATTTCTTCATTAACTGCCTTCCTCCATTAGCCTCCTGAACAGAGTTGGGAATCTGCATACTATCAAGAGTAGACACGAAGGCCTTGTATGATGGTGATAGTTTCGCATATGAGACAAATCGACTAATAGGATGATTCGTGCAAGTTCTGACACCTTTATCCTTACCTGAGTGAACTTGTGTAGTCATTGAATCCGGATCAGCTTCATGGTCTAGTATGAGAGGCATTTTGTGCTCTATCTCCTTTCCAGACTTCTTCCTCCTGGAGTAAACAATCAACTCTTTGTTCTTGTCATCGTTTTGTTGAAGTTGAAGAGGTGGACTAGAACTATTTGGACCGGGACTGTCTTGGACACGAGATATACTCGGTGGACTCGGTGTAGGAGAATGACTCTCAGGAGGATGACTCTCAGATTGATTGGCAGAATCTGTTTGAGGGGTAGGATCTGGTATGGACGGAGATGGAGAGGGCTGAAATTCAAGATCCCAAAGCTGAAATTCTCTCATGTTCTCCCCCTGAATTACAGATTTGGAAAAGAATGATTGATGTTCAAAAAATGTCACATCCATTGAGTTGTAGAACCTTTTGGTTGTGGGAGAGTAACACTTATACCCTTTTTGATGTGAGAGTACCCAAGAAAGACACATTTAATGTATTTAGGAGCTAACTTCCCACGATGTTGAGAGTGTATATGAACAAAAGCAGAGCATCCAAATATCTTTGGAGCTAATGATGAGATAAATTTGGTGTGTGGGAAATGTTGAAGAACAACATTGCACGGAGTTTGGAACTTAAGGATTTTGGAGGGCATCCGATTGATGAGGTATGTGGCTGTGAGTATGGCTTCTCCCCAGAAATATTTTGGAACATGAGTGACCGAGCCACATCTAATAGGTGCATGTTCTTCCTCTCGGCAACCCCATTTTGTTGAGGGGTATCAACACAAGAACTTAAGTGGACAATCCCTTGGCTCATGAGATAGGTACCGAGAATAGATTCAAAGTATTGATTAGCATTGTCGTTCATAAGGATTTGAATCTTGGTTTGAAATTGTGTCTGTATCATAGAATTCAAATTCTGAAAAATTTGTCCAATTTTAGACTTTTCTTTCATAAGAAATACCCATGTTAAGCGAGTATAATCATCAACAAAAGACACAAACCACCTAGTTCCAGTGATATTTTTTACTCTTGAGGGTCCCCATACATCACTATGGATTAAGGCAAAAGGACGGGAAGGTTTGTATGAAGAGTTAGGATAGCTACTACGAGTGTGTGTTTAGCAAGTTGGCAAACTTCACAATTAAAAAACTTTGGACTTTTATTGATAAACAATGATGGAAACAAAGTTCTGAGATATATGAAATTGGGATGACCAAGACGATAGTGCCATAACATAATTTCACTATCTTATTGACACAAGTGTTTAAACAAGACTGACTCTTGAATGATCCGCCACTTTTATTCTGAGATTGCCTTCTTGAAGAAATATTGTCCTTGAGGAGACCCGAATTCAATTCCTGAAATTCACAATGGTTTGAAAAAAATTTAGTCACACAATTGAGATCACGAGTTAATTTACTAATGGAAAGTAAATTGAAGTCCAAATTAGGAACATGAAGAACCGAATGAAGGGTTATATCCTTAGTGACTTTCAATAATCTTGTTTCCTTAACTCTGGATGAGGAACCATCTGCAATGCGGACTGTATGGTTCTCAAGACTTGGACTATACTCGTGAAATATGGAGGCATCTCCCGTCATATGATCCGAGACTCCTGAGTCAACAATCCTAAGGATTTGTATGACATTTATTAACCGCAAAGGCATTTGAAAGATTACCTTTATATGCTAGCATGCTAGGACCCGAGATATTATTGTTTGTTTGAGTCATGACATTTTGGCTAAGCAGCTTTTGGAGTACCTCAAGTTGTTCCTTTGTGAAAGGACTGTTTCAGCCTGTGAATCAGAAGTGGTGTAATTTTCCTTGTCACCAGTAGCGGCAGCAACATTGATTCTACCTTCCCGATCATTGTTTGATCGAGAAGGCTTCCAATCAGATGGTTTACCGTGGATCTTCCAGCAAGTCTCCTTGAGGTGTCCCGGTTTGCGGCAGTAATCACACCAAGGTCTTCCCTTTCTTTGCCTGTTGTCAGCAACACTATTTTGTGATCCTCGAGTGGCCAATACGGATCCTTCAAGAGTTGGAGCGGAATTCTGAGAGCCCATCATCAACTTCTTCCGGTTTTCCTCCCGACGAACCTCTGAGAAAGCCTCCCTTATGCTTGGAAAAGGCTTTGTACCCATTACTCTTCCTCTGACCTCGTCCAGATTTTTGTTGAGACCGAGAAGAAATTTGAAGGTCCTTTTTTGCTCCACTATTTTCCGGTACAACTTTGTATCTTCACTATTCTTCCACGGATGGACTTCAAACATATCTAGATGCAGCCAATGATGAGTGAGAGTATTGTAGTATTGTGTTATCGTGAGATCTCCTTGACGTAGATCATGGAGTGCAGCTTCAATCTCAAACAATTCCGAGATGTTTTCCGAGCTAGAGTAGGTTTCCCCTACTGCGTCCCATATCTCCTTTGCAGTAGTCCTATATAGGATAAAATTTTCTCCTATTTCGTTATTCATAGAATTGATCAGCCACGACATGATCATGTGGTTTTCTATCTTCCATGTTCTGTATTTAGGCCTTTTCTCTGGAATTGTGATCTCACTAGTGAGATATTCACCTTTGCCCTTACCACAAATGAGCATCATCACCGATTGTGACCATTGCAGGTAGTTGTGGCCATTGAGCTTGTGCCCGGTAATGAGAATTGATGTGTTTTCTGGTCCTGCATGGGAATTGATTGTGATGAAACTTCAGCGCTGGAACTGTCTTCCGAGGTTGAGGTGGACTTCTCTATTGCCATGCCGTATTTGGACATTCAGGAATGCTGGTGAAAAGTGTTCGGACAGGAAGAAACAGCGACGTGAAGTGTTGAAAAGGAAAAAATAGATCCCTAATAAGATCGTGAGAATGAGGGAAGGAAATATTAGAAACCAGCCAAGAGGATAAGGCCAGTAAACTGAAAAAGAAGAGGCCTTCCGTGAGAATAAGGCTGTGAGAGGCAACAAAACTAAAGGAGATTAATTTCCAAAGATATGAGCCTAAGGCTCTGATACTATGTAGGTAATTGAGAAGAATGAATATCATTCTTATTTCTTGAATCAGTCGGGTACACATATATATACAAGTAGGAAAGCTTTGACTAAACTTAGACTGTAACTAAATAAGGAAACAAACCCACTAAACTAGGAAAATATAAAATTAGAATATGGTAAGTAACACCGGATTCTTCTCCTAATTTATACACAAAATATCAGGGATAATTCCTAGGAATCTTCCCTAATTGATTCGGAAATCTCAACAATAACCAAGCCAAACCAGACATTTTAGCCTCGTTCTTTTCACCGATTCGAGTTTTCAATTCTAGGTTTCTACAGTTAAAAGCTCTCAAAAAATGTCACATCTAACTTTTTCTGCTACAGTTAAAAGCTTTCAGAAAATGCCACATCTCAACTCGAATTGAAAACTCGAATTCGCGAAGCAAGCGAGGCCTTTGTAACTTGGAACTGTAAGTCATAAAGTACACGGGGTTACTCATAATTGGAAAGAAAAATGCCAATTCAAGTCTAGAGTACATACGCGATACTTAATGAAAACATGCAGGTGATAGAAAATAGGAAGATTTTTGTCAGATACCAGTATTCTTAAGCGAGTGCATGTGACGGATACCAGGACTCACCTGCCTGTGATGCAAATCAGGTTGCTCTTCACATAGCTCATCAGACAAATTCTTCAAAGCCGTCTGAAACTTAAGACTGTATCCACCGGGAATCCCATACCATATTTTAGGGGCACCAAGGTGCAAGTAACACAATGAATACAAGAGGTGTTCTTCAACTCTCTGTTTAAAAAAAAAAAAAAAAAAAAACCTGAACAATCAGACAAGCCAAGGAAACCAGGTACTTGAGCACAGGTCAGTGCGCCTTTGACAATTTAAATTTTAACATAACGTAGATATGATGCAAGAAGATAGGACAACTAACCAAGAAACCATCAAAGCATTAAGTCTTACCCAACAAAGAGATGAAAAGCACATTCCCATCCGGACCCGAGGCGCTAATATATAGGAAGTTTCACTATTTTCTAAAGAAAGAAGAGAACCGCGTAATAAGGATACATTATTCAAGTTCCAGCCTGAATTTACAATTTCAGGATCATCAGATGATGTCAAAAGATTGGATACCATTGGAAATCCACTGCCGAAAACTCCTGCCTCCAAATTATCACAACAAAGAACCTTTGCACAACATAGCAAGATAACAGCATAAGGCTACTTGCTAAACTTAAAGAAATTCTAAGACAACTTACAAACTTGCTGTATCCAAAAACATACCTCAATTTCTTCAGTTGGGTTGTCAACAATGCGTTTATACTCACCTTCAATATTTTCCAATGAAGGCTCCCATTGCTCCTTAAGCACAGCAGAACAACCATTAGAATCTGTGGCTTTATTTTTGCCGAAATACTTACCCTTGAAATCATCTGCGTATCTCTTAAAGGTTTCTGCAGTAAATTCTGGACCACACACTGATTCAAAGCGTTGACCATTATCAAAACATCCAGTTCCAAGATGAATTTCCGTGAGTGCGTTACCATAATCCAAACCTATTCCCAAGGTTCTTCTTCTTTTACTCTGCATATCTTCAATAAAACTTGTTGTTTTACTTCGTGAAGATGAAACTTGAAGCCCATCAATCCGTTGAAGATGGGTAACAAACGTAGAACTTTCCCATATGTTCTTTTCCTTGATAACACATGGAGGATTCCAAGAAGGAGGAGGAACAATACGGCATATTCCATACTGCTCTGCGCTTGGACGTATCTTTGCAATGTACTTGAGAGTGTCCTTAAATTCCTGCAAGTGAAACCGAACTCTACTCGATTAATTTTTTATGTTTTTGTTTAGTAATGAAAAAGTAACCCAACCGTTATTGACTTTCAGAATTCATGTCAAATGAAAAATTCTCATTTATCAGACTTAAAAAAGGAACACCTCTTCTGTTGGGTGGAAAACAGGAGCCTCTTCAAGGGTGTCAGTTCTTGCATCCTTGGGACGCCACCTTGCAGTTACCTAATTGGATTTTGACAAAAACTTTAGAAGCATCAGACAGATGAGAAGATACAGAAATGGTGGAGGCTGGAGCTATTACTATGTTAATACCCATGGAAAGGTACAAACTAGTAATGACTAATAAGAGCATTACGGATATGAATAAACCCAGTTCCAGACTAAAAACACAACCTTGAGAGAATTACTGCAATCTGGACATCCACGGATAACACCTTTTGGAAGGGTAGTCTTCGAAGGCTTATCCTGCAAAATAACCATGGATTGTGTATAATAATCAATGACTGCAACTTCTAAGTCGAAACTGTCAAGTGTTTACGTCAATGTGATTGTGCGTGCACTTCGTTGCAATGCTCTTGAGCCTATTCATCAATGCAGTAATGCGGACAAGCGCGTGATACATGACATAAGTTCTGAATTTCCAACATGTCATGTTCAGCAAAATAGAAAACGATCTAGTAAGAAATGAACAAGAATATGACCTTATCAAACTGTTTGAACTCAAATTTCTCCGACTCATAATTCGCCGAATCGGATATCCACGGTCTATGACGCAGATATCTTTTCAACAAAGCCTTGTCCGTCATCCCAAACATGGTGTCTAACTGCATCAGGCGTTGTTTTGTCACATCCAAGTAGTCCTCGGAATTCTCAGTTTCTTTTCTAATCCTCTTCAGTCTAAACGATGTATGAGAGGCAAAACCTGGTGGAACTGGAAGATTTTTCGTACTCTCATTGTTCACAGAAGTTCCTTCATGTTCTCTGCCCATCATTGCTGAAACGCCAAAAGGAAGCAATTGACCGACCAAATTCAGTTAGCCATTAACTATATTCGAATTTAATAGCTTTATTGTTAATTATTCAAGCAAGTGATTTTCTTAGCTAACAAAAGTCCAAATCTTTCCATAACAAGGAATTATTTTAACATGACAAAAAGGGATAAGCAAATATGTTTAACTTGAAACAAGCGCAAATAAGGTTCTAGAATGGTATATTAAGGAATAAAGATTGAAACTTTACCAAAAAAACAAAGTCAACATCAAAAATCTGAACTTTGTGCATAACAACGAAAATCACCCAAAAAAAAAAAAAAAAAAAAAAAAAAAAAAGAGGACAAAAAGAGAAAAAAAAATCTTGGGAATAACAAATTAGAATTATAAGAAATCGGTTTTCTCCCCCATTACATTATGAACTTGAAAAACACAATAAGAAAAATACATTGACCAAAAATCTAGTAAAGTACAAGCCTTTAGTTCCTGCTTCATCGGAAAAAAAAAGAATAAAGAAAAAAAGTTTTCTTCGTAGTCGGATTCACATACCAGGAAAGACGAGTAGAAGAGATAAGAATTGAACAGAATGAGTAAAGTTAGAAGCAGAACGAACCCGAATTTGGTTTTCTTTGTTCGCCTTTAGTTGAATCAGTTCTTCCCCTTTTTTTTTTTTTTCTGTGTCTTTGTTTTGGGTGGGGCAATACGAAAAGGAAACCGAGAAGACGTATGGCCAAATTACTGCTCTATTCGAGTAATATGGCTTAGGTTTAAAAAAAAGAGTTAATTTCAATAATATAACTCTTAAATAAATTATTATTAATTTTAGCATTATTTTTGTGTATTTTTATAATTAATATTGTCATGTCAGCAGTATGAGATAAAATAACTTTTATATCACTTAAGTCAAAATTATCATTTAAAAGCACCTCAAAGAGACTCCAACTCTCTCCCGCTCATTTTCTCTCTCTACACCCTATTTTTGACTCTCCCTCTTTCTCTCTCTCTCTCTCAACTTTGATTTCTCTCTCTACTCGGTATCTCTCTTCCTTACGCCCTTATTCCCTCGTCGCCAATACTCCGGTTGTGCACTAGATCAAGGTTGATACACAATTTTAAAAAATCTCATAGCTTAATTATATAATGATATTTAAATAATACATTATTTAATTACATTATTAACCTTATAATGATATTTTTATTTTTTCGTAATCTAGATGTTGCTCTATTTTTTTCACATTTTGTGGGATATCTACTCTTTCAAAAATTCAAATCCCAAAATAAAAGAAATTGAGATATCATTAAATCACAAATCAATTAAATTGCTCCTGATGACATATCATTATTTGTAAGTTTTAAAATGCAAACTATCAAAAAGTCGACATCAGTAAATTTAATTAACTAGTTTCTAAGTAATCAACTCTAAAAAAAAAAAAATGATATCAGTATTCAATATATCAAATCTATCAAAATCTTTCTCACTCATGTCATTAAAATACAAACAATATCATTATAAATACAATGAAAAATAATACGAGTGCTCTTATTCCCTATAAACAATTACTTTAACCCATATCATTAAAATACAAGTAGCGCCATTATCGATATACTAGCAACGTAATTAAGCAACATTATAATTAAAAACTTATATAGACAAAAACATTTTGATAAGGGGAAAATATCATTACTGTTACAAATATATCATTATAAAAAGCATAAGAAGAATAATTAGGATACGAACACAAACGCACGTGAGTTTTTGTATATTATCATTACAATAATGATTATATCATTATAATAAGAGCAGGATAATAAGAACAATTAAGACACAAGCACAAACAAATACAATTTTCGTAGAGTATTATTATAATAATGAATATATCATTATACATACAAAACAATAAAAACGCTAAACGTTAAATGCTTGATGCATAGGAGGTAATTATTTAAATTTTTAAAATTTGAAAAGTGTTGTATCAAGTAACTTCAAAAGCTAGATGAATCTGATGAAAAAAAAAATCGAGATGAATCTATTGTATCATTTTTTAGCAATTTAATTAAGATAAAAATAAGGAAGTTAGTTACAAATAAAATGCCCAACAAAATTTTATTGAAAAAAAGTCCAACAAAATCAACTAAAGGGGTATTTTTGGGTTGCCAAAAAATTTATTTTAAAAATAAGTTATATATATGATATTTGTAAAAGTAAGCCACATTTTAATTCAACCTAAAAAAAAATGATATTGTGAAATTTTCACTAAATTTATGGGCTTTATTGGCCTCAACTTGTTGAAATTAGGGCCTGAATAATTGGCCCATGTAGTAGGAGGAATTCAGTTTGGTCGTCGAAAAAGATTCAGCGGAAAAAATATATACTTGTTGTTTTAATTTTTTGCATTTTGAAGAAAAAATCTATGTATTTTTTTAAAGGTACAAGAAATCCATGTAATTTAGATGTTCACGAAATTGAGCTTTTAAATTTTAAATTTACATTAAGTTTGTATTTTCTTAGGTCGACAGGCTACTTTCACTTTAAATAGATAAATTTACAATTTCTACTTTTATAGATAAATTAATAATCAAACACTAATTCCTTCAATAATAATAATAATAAGACACTAATTCATGAAGGTTAAAACTGAAAAATACAAATTTATTTTTTTAAAAAAATTTAAGCTTAAATGTTTGGTTATAGGCTTTTATATAAGTACGCTTAATTGTTTGGTTATATGCTTATATATAACTTGCAAAAGGCAATTTATCTAGTGTCAAAATTAGTGTTAATCCACAAAAGATATAACTGATCTTTGACACAAATATGAATTTCAAAAGTAAAGTCTTAAACATTCAAAATATATTGTATAATTTTTTAATAGACTTAAAATGTAAGATATAAAACAATCATCTAAAAAAGCCTTCAGTGAGGTATTTTCACATGAATATCCCCAACTTTGGCCTCCATAGTCTCTAAAAGTATTTCGTTTATGATTATATATATATATATATATTATTTACTTTTTGTTTATCTGAACATAATACCTTTACTGTAACATTCAATAAGTGACCTTCTTTTATTATAGTCACTAATGTACTATATGCACACACATATACGCAAAGTTTTTAATTTACTAATTATTATTTACTAATATACTAATTAATTAATACTTAACAGAATTAATTTATTTCATGATGTCGTGCTTAATTTTCAAATATTGTGTCCTTTTTTTCTAATTGATGTTATCTTTTTTTCTTGATTTTAATGGTAATTCCTGATAAGATTTTAGTTATATTCTAATTAAAAAAGCCTTCTTTTAGACTATATATACACACTATTGTCCACAATTAATTCTTAGACAAACCATTAGAACAGATTGAAGTTACTTTTTTAGTAAGATATTCTTTTTACTTTTTTTTAAATGATATTTTTTTACTTACATACAATACGTGTAACATAAATGATAACTTTAATTTTCTCAAGGGAGACTGCTTTGATATGATTAAAAAAAAATTTCTAGAGGTAAACACTAGTTAATTAGGAGTGAGATTAAATGTAATTGGCTAGCTATGACTTATCCCATTATTCCAGCCTCATGATACGAAAATAAAATGCATAATGGTATAATATTTTTACACTGAAAGGATACTTATTTTATTTTAACACTCTCATATCCCTTAATTATGTGTACATATGTATAATCCCATAACTTGCAGCAAAAAAAAAAAAATCCCTTATGCAAGCATACGTGGGATTTTTATATTGTATTTAATTAAGTAGGAAGAAAGACTCACTAAAAAAAAAATTAGGAAGAAATAAATAGAACTCCGCTTTGCAATATCCTATTTGTGACATATATATATATATATATTGAGCCAATTATAAGTAATCGTATATCATTGATTGAAAATGAATATGCTTTAAAATTATTTTACAATATCTATTATCAATCTCCCGCCGCAAGTTTAGAACGAGACAGCTACATTTACGCGTGATTAAAGAACCAATCATTGACAGAGATATATCATTGATTTGTACACAAATGGCCCAAGTCCCAACGTTGTATACAAAAAAATAGACAAGTAAAAAGAAAAAACAAAAAGGAAAAAAAAAACTAAAACATAATAAGCTAAGCACAATAATACATTCTAAAACAATTTCCAATCAAGCTTCATAACGTACAAGTTTTTACCCCTAAAACGAAAAATACTATAAAAGATAACTGCAAATAAACAAATCCGGTATTGTACTGTTTTTGGTGTGTATATATATACTTTCAGAGGAAAACCATGCTGTTATCAATCTCGAACCTCATTTCGTCGAAATTCGAATTAGACAACATCCCGCCGTGATTATTAGTATTGTTTTCTGAGCTGATATTTTCATCGAAGTTTGTGTCCCATAGGAATCCATAATCGACGTCGGAACTGTTTCTGGGGCTAGTAGTACTATTAATATTAATATTACTATTATCATGATGATTATTAGCGCTAGTTGCCATGATTATCGGGTTATAATTGGAGGCTCCTTTCTGGTCGTGGGAAAAGTTGTGAAGGCGATTAAGGAAAGATGTGGTTCCATGGTTGTGATGAGTTGGGGTTGAGGAAAATGAGGTCATGATTTGTTGGTCGCACCCGCCGCATGAATTAGGCATTGTCGTTTGGTGATCAGTTGGAGGAGACGACGCAGACGTTAGATTTATGGAATATGGAGGAGCACATGACGTGTTGTTCTGATCCATCAAAAGCAATTGTGGGCTGTAGTACTCTTCGTTGCTGTTCTCTGATCCCTTGCTTTTTTGAAACACTCTACATAATACCCAGTCCTCCTAACATAATAATAATCACAAGAAAATATTTATAAGAATTAACTTGGTAATTGCTGATTAGGACAAAAATGCTAATATAATAAGCTAGAAAGGTAATTTAATTTACAGAAAACTGAAGAATATAATTATAGGCAAGGATTAGTACGTGTAGTACTTATTCTTTTTGGTCTACAAATGATCAGTGATCGTTAGATGTACATTGTTAGTGACAAAAGCTACGACAATAGGCCATGTAAAGTTCCATAATCTTTAATTTTTTTTTATACCAACTCATTAAAAAAATGTAATTTTATAATATTAGTTAATTTGATACTTTTTATATGTTAATTCTAAGAAGAAAATTACAAAAATCCATATATATATATATATATATAAGTTGGTATTAAAATGTACTATTGTTGATATTTTATTATACGTATATACACGATACGCGTTTTCTTGACACACCCACGCACTTTCCTTCATGTTTCCTTTGATTTTGTCTCTCTTACATTCACATGACTGTCACTGAAATGACCAGAGAGATGTACACACTAACAAAGCATACACATTTCTCTTTTGATCCCTTCCCGTCAGAAAATATAACCAAAACCTTTTTTTTTTGGCTAAGAATAACCAAAACCATTGTTTATACTCTATTTGTAGAGCTATGTTGTGTATCTCAGTGCGTTATATACGTCTATATAGACGTACTTGAATGAATTTGAAAGCGTATATAATGTAACTGTAGGCCAAATAGCAATCATATTTCCAGCAAAAAAATAGTTAAGACGATCATAATATTGATCATTAATGGTAAAGTGTTATCGATCGAAGAAATATTTAATCAGGAGACTGACCTTAGGAGGCATATGTGGGGTCTCCAAGCGAAACTCATGCATGATCCAGCCAGTTTTGATGCCATTAGGAGCTCTGTTCCGATAGAACACCAAAGTCTTTCTCATCCCTACTATTTCCTTTGTTACCTGGTCGATCACCGTACGGTCTTTTCCGGTTGCTTTCCAGTAACCAGATGTCGTCGCGCGATTCGTTCGGTATCCCGTGGCATACTTGCGGTCGCGGAAGCTGAAGAAGTACCACTCATTGGCGTTGAGCTTTGCCACCTCTATTCAATCCATGGAAAGCAAAAATTAATGCAAGTTAAAATAGATGAAATGTGCTAATTGTAATATTCTTCTTCCAAAAATTAGCTAGTTTAAGGCATAATACATATACATTGTGTGGTCCATGACATAACATTCATATGCCTAAGATATTATATATTGTTACTGTTAAGCTCATGATGGACTTTCTTGTCAGATTATAAGGTGAAATATATGCCTCTAAATCTTGACCAAAAGTTTAAGTCGATCTAATTTTCTGTTCACGTAATAACTTTGCTTTCTTTATAATTTTAGTTTTTGCACAAAAGATTATGAAGAGATATAAATATTGGTCTTTAGGCCTAGTTGTTTTCTTATACTAAATATCTTGTCTAAAAGATGGCGAGTCTAGTTCAATACCTTTTTTTTTCTATAAATAAATTACAATTGACAACATATATGATATATCTATGAGTGATGTCTAAGGGAAATGATGAAAAAGTGTACGGCCTCTAATTAGTATCAAAGTCAAGGAAACACATATATACTTATATACACATATATAATATACATACATACATACATATAGTTACTATTCTCTAGATATATATGTCACAACAAGATTTAGGGACTGATTTTGTCGTTGTATCAGTGAACTAAAGGGTGAAAAAGGTGATGCTTTTTCTTGTTCATAGTCTCTCACTTCGATTGGACAGTGTTACAAGCATTAATTCAATACTTATGTACCCCATAAGAATAGATTTCCATAAAAGTTATATGCAGTTTGAGCTTCCAGCCGAAGCTAGCCCACTTAGGGAATCTTACCATTACTTCTTTCTTTACTAATAACTACATTAATTAACAAGCGGTGTCAAAAAGTCAAACCAAAAAAGCTAAAGAACTTATCTACAAATATACAAATCGAGCAAATATATATACATAAAGTACTTTTAATAAATAATACAGAAATTCACGTGCTTTGTTCAATCATTTAGAGTTTCTGTTCCGACATATACAAACGACCCAACAACGTTTTTCTTTATCCAGGTAATTTGGCGTTTTAGGTTTAGGGACAGATCATAATATTGCATAAGCCATTTCCAGTTCAAACTGTAAAGGAAGAAAGTTAAAAACTTAGCAACCAAACAATCAAACCTAAACTTGTAAAGTATCATCTTATCAGTACTATATATATGTGTGTGTGTGTGTGTATGATCCATACACGTTATGCCCGATAGAAAAGGGGACGGTTTTTTTTGGGCACATGGCTAAATAACAGCCAGCAGATTGTATGAATATTACAGCTTTAAAGGAAGGAATATTTACGGGACTTACGTATCTTTTTATTATTTGCCCTTTTTTGGGTAAATATAATAATATAGTTTTATACATATACATATATATAAGTAAAAAGTAGCATTGCAAAAATAAACGAGACTTTTATGTTTTATTTCTTATTATATATATGATATATTAATGCGCATAATTTCTATGAGGACAAACCCAAGACCGACAGGTTGAAATAGACGTGATAACTTTAGATGGTAATTGGAACTTTTTTTTTTTTACCGAAATAGTTTACATGAATCTTATTTATTTTTTTGCTAATTAATGAGAGCAAAGACTAATTTGATTATAAAAAAGTATTTCCTCGCTTCCAAAAGTGGCCTGAAATACTTATTATAAGAGAACAAAGAAAAGGACTCATGAATTACTTTTGTTCAATGGGAAAGAGATGAATAGAAAGGATACTAAGTGGGAAAGCTTGAAATTTTCCTATAAATAAAATGATTGCCGTTGTCAGAATTTCAGTATATATGAAAAAAAATATCAAGAAAATATCTATAAAGGAGGGTACCAGAATTGAAAAAACTCTGATATTTCTCTCGCGACGGGTATGAATTTGAAACTGATATTTCAGATTATATAAACACGCACACAGGGAATCATTTACTTGATTCCTTTTTTTTTTTTTTTTACTCAGCACTTTAAATTATTAAAAATACCTTATACTGAGAATCGAATAAGCTGTATCAATATAAAAAGTATATGAATATCATCGTAAAGATATTGTCGTCAAGAAGTTGGCATTACCAATATTTAAAAAGCGATATATATGTTTGTGTATTATACATCCTAAAAGAAAGCATATAATTCTCTTTCTAAAAGTGATAACATGTTCATCTCTCTTTCGCAGAGGTCTTACAGGCCAGATGTATCAGCCTGTTAATCATGGTCTTCCCTCAGTCTGAACTAAAAAGCACCAATGCAACAAGAACAATAATACTACGCTAATTTATCTAAAATTAATACACAAAAAAGCAATTAAAATATGAACAGATCATGAGATGTGATTGATGCAATCAGAAAAACCATGAACATGATATATATATATATATATATATATATTGAACTCGAAACGAAACAAATTAATTAAAAGGAAGAAGAATTAAACAAAAATTAATTAAGAATATTTGCAAATGATGATGATGAGATATTGCGAGGACCGCGACGAGTGTTCTTACCGGGAAGCTGCCATGGCTCGCAAATATGCAAGTCAATTTCAACCAAAGTGCCCTTCAAAGCCTCCTCATTGCAGATCTTTTTGTAAAGATAATGACAGACCAACTCCTCATCACTGGGGTAGAACCTAAACCCAGGAGGCAGCGTTGCTCCAATGTCTCTCAACCCCATATTGTTTGTTTTTTCAGCTTGTACGGATGGATTTGTACCAAAGAGTTTGGTCGAAAAAGAAAAAAAAAAATTAATAGGGATTTTTCGCAAAGTGAGAATAATATAATTATGTATATGTTGTATATTGGTAGAAGATCATGATCATGAATGGAATATATTTAATATGTATGAGGATATATTCTAATTATTATTTTTATTTTTATTTTTTTTTGGTTTGAGAGAGAAAAAGAAGAGAAAAGACGCTATGGAGGCGTTCGTTTGTTTGGGATTTTGAAATTAATACCGTGTAGAGGGAGAAAGGTTGGTATTATATATATAGAGAGATATATAGTTCGGATAGGTGCGTTTTCCTAGTTATAATTTTTTACAATATTCTACTAGGCATGCTTATGTAATTAGTTAGTTATAGTCGGAAGTTTCAAGAAAAACCAAAGTTACAAGAAATCTTCTCTCAATGGGAATTGCGGAATGGGGGGGCTCTAAAAGAATAAAGCCGTGGCATTTGAGGGGATGCAGCATATATGGACAAAACGCCAAAAAAATTATTATGGAAACCCTCCAAAATACCCCTTTTTTAACTCATCATATGGAATTGGATTATTAACACTTTGGATTCAAATTATTATGAGCCTTTAACGAGAATGAACAAAAAGCTTAATATGAATGGAGAATCACGTGTCGTACACATAATATAATACATTATTGCTAGTTAATCAAACGCTTGTCTTCATAAATGTTTGCATTTATCCCCTTTTTCCTTTCTTAAAAGGTTCAAAGGTTGATTTGGATTGTAGCTTCAAATATTAGTTGTTGATCGATATATATTAATTCTATATATGTTTAAAATATATACATGTACGTATATTTATGTATGTATATATAAAGTAGCTAGCATGTATATATGACATTTGTTGTGGGTTATAGATGTTATGTATTAATAATGTATGTTTATGGATTATGGAACATATATATATATATATATAATATATCACATAATTGAAAGTTGTTCATAAGTAAATTAATCTTCAATTTAATCATTCTATACGACTACCAACACCTCTATAGTCATAATTGGTCAAGCAACTCTGTCAGGCTAGGGACATACTTACATATAATTGAATAAAAATAAAGGAAACTTTTATTTTAGTAGCTTGTGTTTTATCAAAATATGAATTTGGTATCATTTATTTTTAATAATTTTATGCTAGTATCTCAACCTTTTAGAAAATATTCTTTTGATACTTCATAGTAGTTTTTTAGGACACAAAAATATAAAATTACCCTTATTATAAATAGAAAAAAAACTTTTTAAAAAATCTTAAACCTGGAGCTAAACATCTAAACTTCATTATACTCTAAACATAAAGCAAAAATCTTGATTGTAGGTTTAAGATTTTTTTAAAAACTTTTTAATATATTTAATAATAATAATAATTTTGTCTTTTTGTGTCTTAAAAAATTACCATGAGGTATTAAAAAAAGATTTTTTAAAAAATTGAAGTACCAACATAAAATTATTAAAAATAAAGATACTAAATTTACATTTCGATATAACACGGGGTATCAAAATAAAATTTATCCTAAAAACAAAAAACCAAAGAAGAGATAGGAAACGAAATAAAATAAAAGTAAAAAAACCAATATGAGAGTATCCAAAGCACGTGAACCGTTTGTTAAATTTGAACTAAACCTTGGATCCAGGAAAAAAAAAATGTATAAAGAAAATATGGCTAGCTGGAAAAAAAGAAAATGAATGTTAATCATGAACTCAGATAGATATATCAGTGTCCCATCTGTTCATTTTATGATCATAGATGAACATTTGGATGGATGTTATTGGGGGACCACAGGGGATAAGCCTGTGATCTGGGGCCCACCTCTAATGATCAACGAATAGGAAACAACGAGCCCCATCATTATACATATACACTACTGTAGGCTTATCTGAATGAATTGTTCCGTGATTTTTGTTTTTAGGCGAGTAATTAGTGTCTGCAAATGGGCAATAATTTATAATGAAAAAATGGACAAAAGAATATCTGTCAAAGCATGTATCCTCCTAATTGTACATCAAATTATTATTTTGTGATACGTGTGTGTGTGTATATATATATATAACAATGCTAACTGGAATGGGGTCATGTACGTACGTAGGCACAAAGACATTATATGATGCACTAATAATGCAGCTAATGATCAACAATTTCTTCACTATTGAGTGAGACTCAAAGAAAAACTATTCAAAAGATTTAGAAAGCGTTTGGTAGATAGATTTAAAATTATAATTTTAGATCTTGATTCAGAATTAGTGTTTGTTTACGGTGATTATGAATCATGATTCAAACCCGTTTGGTTTATGGATTAGAACTATGAGATTAGAATCATTTTCGATTTACGTGTGTTTTTTGTGAGAGAAAATACTGTAACGAACCATGAACCATAATTCGAATCAGAGAACGAATCCTCTAACCAAACGGGCTCACGTGTTTGATTTGAATGATTCTAAATCTGATGTGATGTTTTAAACCTGAATCACTCATGATTTTAAAACCATCATCCTCTTGATTCAAGGTTATTCAAACCCTGACTCTGAATCATAATTTCAGAATCATAATTTGAACATAACTATAATTATAATTAGAATCACTCTGATTTAAATTCCCGTACCAAACAAACCCTAACGTTTTATATGTCAACTTAAAAGACAGTTGTCCTTCCGATTCGTAAAACGAACATATATTAGAACCCGTGAAAGTGGGGTCATATTCTTCCTCCATGGAATGCTAGAATTAGCACAGAATAACGCAAAGCGATGTTGATATATATAGTCATCGAAATAGGGAGGGTCAAAGAAAACAGTGATTGACCCAAAAATACTGTAAATAAAATTGATCAACTAATGACGTTTTTTTTCTCTCTCTCTCTCTTTCGGTTGATAATTATTACGGCTTGGGAGCAGATCATAAGCTCTATGATTAGAGATGATCAGTGCGTGACATATATAGACCTTATTCATTTATAAAAATTTAAGTTAAAAAGTAAAATCATATAAGACAAATTATTATAACAAAAAAAATTAAATTTAAATTTTTATGAGAGAAGTAAAAATTTAAATTGTGATTCGAATTAATAAACAGTAGAAATCAATTCGGATCAAAGAGATATTTTAAGATATTATATATATATATTTTTAGCGTCACACATAATTCAACAAAAAAAAAAGAATATTCAATCATATTAGGCTACAATGATTACAAAGTCCTTTTATATATTTAAAAATTTCAGGTCATTCTCTGAATTACATCTTTAATATGACTACTCTTGCAGGGCAACAAAGCTATGCTTGGTTAGAGAAATATGATGAGGACCAAGAGGATACAATTAATGCGTCCAACATAAATCAGTGCTAAAGATTGATTGATGTTAAGAAGGGTCTTTCAGTGTTGTACTATGATTATGTCAACATATGGGTAGTTTAGTTATCTTAAGAAAATTGTGGACTGACTTATCTAATTACCAAAAATATCCTCTAGCTAATGAAGAATTAATGACTATCTAGGATGGGCAAATGAATCGAGAAGATAATAAACCCTGAATTAACGGGAATTTAGACACACAAGCGGAAGACACGGGGAACCACAAACAAAGGTACACGTCAAAAGGTAGGGTTTGACGTGTATGACTATTGTGGAATCATGTAATGAGATCAATGCCAATTAAGCAAGGAAACGAAGGACACAAATGATTGTGGGTTGTGGATATTCTAGGGTTAGAGTTGTTTTCCAAGGAGGGGAATTTTTGTTAGGTGAGGATGACGTTGGAGAATGAGTGACGGCTTGATATTCCTCTGTTTGGAACCAATAATTTCATGGCCCTGGCCCTCTTTTTCCATTTCTAAGCCTCTCCCTCCTTTCAAAACTGTCGTTTTTACTCGTTTTGCTTCACTTCCATAAGTTATGGGCTTTCATTTTGTAGGATGCATATTTTGGGACTTCTCACGTCCGTATTTTACAGATATACCCATCATTACTATTGTTTATTATTTTAGAAAAATAAAATAGTCGACTAAATAATTAAAACATAAAAATTAAGGCCGTATTTAGAATTAATCATGTTTTTATTTTTTACGTTTTTTAAAGAAGAAAAAATGAAAACGTTTTTAAAACGGTATTTGGCGCAATAAAGATAAAAAACAGAAATAAAAATGATTTTTTAGTTTAGTGTAAAATAAGAGAGAAATAAAAAATGACTTTTAGTCGTATTTCATTTTTTATTTTTATTTTCTCCTCTTTCGAGAGACATTAATGAGTTTTTTTTATACTGAAAATAATCTCTTTATAAAATTAATAAACATATTTTCAATAATAATTTATGTCTGAAATTAAAAACGTTTTTATTTTCATACAAAATATAAAATTATTTTAAAACGAATTCTAAACGCGTCCTAACTATCTCAGTTATGGGCTTTCATTGATGTAAAAAAGGATTATTAATTATTGTTGAGCATTGGCTCCCGAGAAGAGAGAGAAACAAAAAAAAAAAAAGAGAGTGTTTTGGCCAGAGTCGCGGCACCATTTCTGAGCGTGTTTTTGGTTCTTCTCCCATCAGTTGATGCTCGATCTTTTTCTGTTATTTTTGGCATTGATGGTTGCTTTGTTAGAAGCTTTGTCGTTGTGGTTGTTTTTCAAGACTCATGCATTTATCTTATTTTCCTCTGTTAAATAACCCCACATGTGCTCAATATCAGTGTGCCGCTGTAGGTCTCCGTTTGTGGAAGAGGAGACGCTTAATCCCTCAATTATTGTAGTGTTTATTTGGGTTTACAGGTGGAAGTTCTTGTTTATCGGTGCCGTGTTTTCAATAGTTGTGACTATGTGGATATGTATTGGTGTTTACACTGCCTTTTTATGTTATGGAATACATTTCCCCTTAAAATTGTGCTTTCATTTTTGTAGGATGTATTTTGGGGAGTAAATTACACACAATATTCATCTGTGAAGTCTAATTATTCACTCTACCCCGTTTGTGTAAATTTGATTCAAAATTTTCACAAAAATTATATATATATATATATACAC